CTGTCTTTTATGTTTAATAAATACCTTAGATTTTAAAACATTTCCCAGGCAGTGGATTGCATTTCCTAGACCTTATAGATTTGAGTTGTTGGACAAGTTAGTGACCGCAGGGGGCAACAGGCCCTCAACCAAGTGTTTTATAAGGGGGGGATAATTTTGGCCCCCCACCAAAAAAAACCAATTTGATTTCGAAACTAGAAGTATTTGAAATCATATATACATATAATCAAATATCTGTAATCGATATTTTGATAACATTTCTCGTAATAATCCATCATGACTCACGGATATCATAGACTCGCAAATCATAATGAACGAATTAATGAAAGGGCCTAACAAAAGACGTATACAAGACTTTGAAAATGCCATTTCCGACGATTTAGAGACGCAAAATTTTCAATTTTTTTTCGCTCTGTGCCAACAATGGTGGCGCTTCGTGGGAGTCGGGAACTCTACATTTATCAAGCTGGCTCCCTAAGTGACGGCCAAGTTCGGTCGTATCTACATAAACATACTATGAAGTACTTAACTGAAGGTTCAGTCTATCTACAGCATAATGTAATGCTGTATATCCAAAAATCTGTTTCAGAAAATGCAGGGAATTGCAGTCATAGGGGTAGAAAAATACAAAAATTTTCTGGGAGAGAAATCCCCAGACCCTCTCCAGGGTATATTATCCAATATATCGTTAATTAAATATACCTTCACCCATTTAGTACTACTGAATTCTAAATTTCGACATACTAAAAACGCTGTTTTCTGACAATCAGAAATCTGTCAAATCTTCTCCAAAGTCCAGGAAATGGCATTTCAGAGACTCTAAATTTAAAAATTTCCTCGGGCCTTCGGCCCTCGCTTTCAGCCCCCCCCCAAACGAAAAGAGCTTCCTACGGCCCTGTTCTCCCCCCACCCCCCACTATGAAGTGCGATACCACACCAAACTTTTTGTTACCAACAAACCATCTATCATTGCTCCACACTCGGTATAGTATGGTCCCTTTTTGTAGATGGCCCCCCCACTGATGAATTCTTAAAAAATGCCCTGGGTTGTGATTCATATGAGCTGCACGCATTGCATTTTGGGTATTTGCGCATTGCATTTTCGATCTATCAGTGTTGATTCAAATTGAGAATTTTGCTAGGTACGTGAATTAAATTTGCTGCCTTGCTCGCTATTTGCCAGCCCACCCCCGGTCATAAATAATGAATGATTAATAACATAAGCATAGTAAAAAAAATTCCCCGACTAACATAAACATACTCAAAAAAATTTTTCAGGACTAACATAAGCATATTCAAAAATTTTCGACCAAGATAAGTAAGGTTTCCGTTTTTTCACCGCCAACATAACAAAAGCTTTAAAATTGTTAAAATTGCGAACCATTTCATAAGTTTGACCTACTTCGACCATCTTTTATCCCAAACTTTACCAAACATTTGCGAGTTTTACTTTCAATTTTAAGCAAATATCAGTTTCATTTTGACCAACTTTGGGCAAATATCAGTTCCATTTTGACCAACTTTGACCGTTTCAAATATTGGGGGTGTTACACCCCCACACCCTCTATAGCGACGTTCCTGCACACACGCCATTTGGTGCAATAGAGCCACTGGTGTTTTAGTTACCTGCGAGCTGGGACGAAGCAAAAATAGAAGATAAGAAAATTTGCAAGGAAAGAGCTTTAGAGGCATGTCAAACAGTTTGCGAATTCATAGCGCCAAAAGATGGCAACAAGTTATTCCAAGCAATCCACCAAGAATCTAGAGGCCCTACAACTGAGAGAATTGCGTTAATGTATGCCTATCGTGATACAGACTCCTAACGTGAATAGACAAATACTCATTATATATGCATACCATCATACCATGAAAACATTGCAAGGCTTTCTCATGAACCTTATCAAAAAGTCAGCATGAGACAAATCAAACTGGCCAGATTGCATGCTAAGCAAACGGGCCCAGGATCTGTTGTTACTAAAATATTCCATCATCATGTGCGTCTTGACACACATAAGGTTGATCACTTTGTTGAGTTTATCAACCGTCCTTATTTTTACCAGGACGTTGCGTACGGAACAAGAAAGCTGTCCCTAGATGGAGGCAGCCAGGTTACAATGCCTAATGTCATCCGTACTGTTACAAGATCCACCATGGTGAAGCTTTACTTACAATACTGCAAAGAAGAGTCATTTTAGCCCATCAGTCGTTCCACAATGTATCGAATTTTGGAAGTGCGCGAAGCATCTCAACGTACATCATTATGTGGCCTCGATAACACTGCTGCCGAAGGGGCGTCCGCTTTTGAGCGATTATCAACTATTATTGATGAGCTTTGTGAATCTGGTGCGGACAAACAGAAGATGACCAGCTTGAAAACTAAGTTGAATGACGAAGTATCTGAAAACGACGTTCAAAACGGATTGCATGGATGAAGAAAGCGAGTGTGCTGACCAGTGACCACTGTAGGCGCTTTGCCTTAAGCGATACTGGTGATAAGGATTTTCAAAAACAGTGTTCACATTCATCACATCATATATCTTGCGAGCGATTTAACGAACTAAGATTGGTAGTAGATGAAATAGAAGCCTGCATAAAGAATCATTCCAGTAATCTTTATAGCGAAGAACAACGAGATGATCTACTCTATGACTTCAACACGTCTAAGACCAAAATCTTTGCTTGGAAGTGCCATATTATGCGAGGCGTAAACCAGGAACAAGCAAAACAAGATGCAATACGTAATTTGTCAGACAACTCTGCCCGCATTATAATTGACTGGGCGATGAAGTTCAATCAAATAAGGTACAGAGAAAAACAGAAAGAGTCAAGAGTGGTATGGAAAACGCGGGCTCAGCTGGCATATTAGCAGCATGGTGACTTATAACAAACAATCCAAAACTACTCGTGTTTTGTCCTATGCACATCTAATGGACTCCTGCTCACTGGACTGGTTTGCGGTGACTTCTATTTTTGAAAGCCTACTAGAGCGTATCAAAGTTGATTTTCCAAACGTGAAAATAGTATGTGTTCGTTCTGACGAGGCAGGCTGCTATCACACTACCGACCTCCTTGCAGCAATCCATGATGTAAGTGATCGTTCTGGAATTGCGGTTGAACGCTACGACTTTTCTGAGCCTCAACAGGGTAAGGACGTATGTGATAGAGTTCTTTGCCCAACCAAGACATCAATCAGGAGATACTGCGCTGAAGGGAACGATATTTTTAACGCATCTGATATGAGGAAAGCTTTGGAAGAGAGGCCAGTTAAGGGTACAACAGCAGCTGTCTGCACTTTAGATGAATCCAGTGAAAATCTTAAGGTACTGAAAATCAAAATCTTCAGTGATTTGCATAAATTTCAATATGAAAAAGAAGGATTGCGTACCTGGAGAGCCTACGATGTCGGTCCTGGGAAGCTCATACAATGGAAGTTCGTATATGTAAAACATCAAGGAACGACCAACATATCATTAGACGAAGGACACAGTTTCTTCAAATTCAGTGAAACAAGACAGCTATCACTCAAAAACGACCAAGAAACTCCAGAAAACACGATTGACAATGATAATCAGCCACCGCTATTTGTTTGTCCTGAAGAAGGATGTAGCTATAACTCTGACTCTTTTCCAGAACTCGAGCTTCACATGGCACTTGCATTAAATCCAAGCAAAAAGAAATGAAATATTTTACGATGGAATTCGTCGAGACTGGGCGACTAAATTTCCAGGCATTGATTCCTATGTGCAGTCCAAACCAACTGGATTGCCATCTTATATGTCCCGTAAAGAAATTTCTTCGCGGCTTGGCATCGGCTGGGCTTTAAAACCGGCAAGACCAGGAAACACTCGTTTTACAGAAAACCTACGGTCGTATCTGACTGCAAAGTACAACATAGGGGAAAGGACTGGTAGAAAAGCAGATCCTGAGCAAGTTGCGTCGGAAATGCGCTGCGCAAAAACTGAAAAAAACTGAAAGACGTTTCAAAAGAGAAGAGTGGTTATCGAAGACGCAAATTGTAGGGTTTTTTCACGACTTTCTGCCACACGAAGAAGATCCTCAAATCAGAATTCTTCCAATGAAAACGTACACTCGGATCCAGATACAGATGACAAGATGTAATACGGGAATCAGGACGGCTCAGTTTACTTGAAGAAATTAGAGACATTATAGGTCTACGACACCCAATTGTATACGCGCGTACACGATGTATATGATCTATGCGACTATTACCACAAAGAGAAAATCGCGGTATTCAATATTGCTATGCTGAAAGATATACTAGACTACTTCAAAGTACGGTATAGATCTAAAGACCGAAAGTCGGAACTTGTTCGGTTGGTCGGAGAAATCATTCCAGAATGCGAGTATAGTGAGGAAAACCATTGACTGAAAGAGTTGATGCAGCATAATTTTACTGACTAATGCGCTGACCCCTGTTCCAATAATCATTGCCGTAGCCAAAGCAACAGTTCACATTCGAAGGATTGCAAAGGATTCAATAGTTTCTCCCGAATTTGATATACCCATGGCATATGTAAAACATAATGACAGTGTATTCAAAATGTCAAGTACACTGGACGTGGTAAAACCCATTTGTCTGTAAAAGCAGTTAAAAGAATTGGATAAAATGTTCAAAACGTCCTATGCACCAAAAATATCAAAAACTCAGTATTATAGGTTTCTAGGTTATATACACCATGTATTATAGAAAGTAGTGTTGTTTAATAAGCCTGGTGTATCTACCGTTCAGTTAAAAAATGAAGTTAAATAAAAAAATTTGGAGAATAAGTCTGAACTCAATATGAACGAGCATTTGTGGATGTTCCGATTAATTGTTATTAAGATTATTTTCATAAAAAACTAAGTATATTGTCTGGAGCTGCTTTCTAACATCTACCTTACGAAATTTGTCGTTTTGGAACGAATTTTTTTCTTTAGCAAGTGAATTTTACCTTTTGTGATGCATTTTGAATTCGTAATGAGCTACATATTGTGAGGACGTCACCTTTGGATTTTAGTTGAATTAAAACAAAAAATTAATGTAAACAACACGCGCATGAGCAGAACGGACTTGACTTCCACTTTAGAATCAGACAAAGGACATTTAGGAATAGATTTTAACGTGTTGTTGAGTTTTCGGCAATAATAGCGAGGCTAATAAACAAAACAGTAGGGGCCGATATGCTTATTGGATTCTTGTGTCACACGCAGAAATAGCTAAAAAATGCAAAAATTGTCAACTTCCTGATTTCTTAGAAATGCCATGTGCCGCAAATTTTATGGTATAGATGTATGGAATAGCGTCCTATTTCAAATTTCGATTTAGAACCTGGGCAGGTACCACAAATGAGAATTCTGCAATGTTTTTGGACCTATAATTCTCGAATCTGATATCATGCGTTGGAGGGTCTCGATTAGTAAATTTTATTTATTTGCCAGGTGCAACTATATATTACTGTTTCTTAGTAGAAAGAGCACTCCAGTGCAGCTCAGACCCGAAAACGAAGCTCTGATTAGCAGAGAAAATAGAGCAAGCAGACTGTGATTCTAGGCTTCGGCGATTTCAGAAACCGGCATATTTTAATTAACTTGGGTCATCGGACAAAAACTCGCATAGCGGTTGTAAAAACTACATTAGAACGATCTTAACTCCAGTTTTGGAGTTAGGATAGATGAGAGTATCGACGGTAGAAATGTAAGAGAAATCTATTTTTGATAAGCCCAGATCGAGTGGTTCGCTCTTACAGAGACGCCCTCTTAATCGTGTCCTTCAAGTAATGTTAACCCTTGGAGTACGAGTGTACGCCTGAGCAGGCGTCTTGTTTATTATGTATTCACAATTTTGATGATAAATATCAGAGCCCAACATATAACTTTTAACAAAGCCATTAAAACAGTTAAGATTTTAAAGAATTTTTATTGTAACGTTTCGTCTTTAACTTAAGACATCTTCAGACTAGATAAAATTACATGAGATTTGAACATATACAAGCTAATTATAATCTATTTACAAGGTTGCGAATCACAGATTGCGAACATCTAGCGCCAATAGACAATGTCAAAACAAGTTATTGATAAACGAAATCAACGCGAAGCACGCTCGGATACGAGTACTCTCCGCGCATGCAAGCAACAACAGCGCATTCTAAACTAGCCTCATTGGTTTCAAACATGGATTTCATTCATCTTAAAAATGTTTCCAATCGTAAAAGTTCAAAAAAACATAGTCAACATCAGCGCGGCAAGACCGCAAGATTTTCGTCTCTGCTCGGGATAAAATAACTCGAACTCGGTCAACCCTGACGACGTGCATGGTTTTCAATTTCTCTGATCGTCTTATCTCGAACAAAGAAAAGGAAATCCTATCCAAAGGACTTAACTTTGCCATCCCACCAACCAAAGTGAATTCCTGCAGTTTCCTCACACCGTTTGAAAAGTTTTATAATCAACTCAAGCGAGAACCAATCAACTTTGATTCTGGCTTCTTCGCAGTTTCAATTAAAGCCAAGTTGAAAGATATGCATACTCCGGTTTCCGAAGCTACATTTGACCTAACGCTTTATATACGCAGGAAGAACTGAACATTCTCAAAGACCTCGGAAACGACAACAGCATTGTTATCATGAAACCCGACAAGGGAAACGGCGTAGTAATTCTTAATAAGGATGACTACAATAAAAAGATGGATGAAATACTGTCGGACACTTCAAAATTTGAACTTTTGAATGATGATGCAATCAAGCTCACTCTCAAGCGTGAAAGTCAAGTTAAGACGCTATTAAGGAAACAAAAGGCAGGCAATTGCATTAATGAAAGAACTTACAACGAACTGTATCCCACTGGTACACGTATAGGCACACTATATGGACTTCCAAAAATTCACAAATCCTCTATTCCTTTAAGACCTATTCTATCTTCTGTCAATCATTATTCGTACAAGATAGCTAAATTCTTCATTCCCTTTCTCACTCCTATCTCTACAAGCTCTTTCGTCATCAAGGACTCGTTCTCTTTTGTTCAAGAACTCTTGAACAGCGACATCAACTCAGGTAGTGTGGTTATGGCTAGCTTTGACGTCACTTCATTGTTTATCAGAATTCCTGTTGATGAAACAATTGAGATTATCTCAAATCACATCTTTGCCAGCTGCATATATTTTGAAGGCTTTGATCGCTCACAGTTCATCAAACTTCTATCTCTTTCTGTGAAAAACTGTCACTTTTTCTTTAACGGTCGGATTTATCAACAGATTGATGGCGTGGCTATGGGTAGTACTCTAGGCCCTCTCTTTGCTAATATCTTCATGTCTTTCCATGAGAAATCATGGCTTTACAACTGTCCGTCTATTTTCAAACCTATTCTATATCGACGTTACGTTGATGACTGTTTTCTTCTTTTTAGATCCCCGGACCACGTACCTCTTTTTTTAATTACCTTAACCGCCAACACCCAAACATTTCTTTTACATCCGAACTGGAAAAAGACGAAATTTTCCACTTCTGTTTCGATCGTAAACCAACTTTCACGGCCGGGTCTTTTCACGAACTTGCACAGCTTCATTCCTCTTGGATACAAGCGCTCTTTAATCTCTTGCTTACTTCACAGAATTTTTCAACCTCTGTTCTAGCTATGAAAACCTTCACACTCAGCTTGAAGTTATTAGGAAACTGTTTAACTTGAATGGTTTCCCCTCCCACATGTTTGAGCGTCTTGTTCATCGTTTCCTTCACAAGATCTTCGAACCCAAACCGGCCTCCCATTCACACGGTTCCTAAAAAGGTTGTCTATTCCTGCCTTCCCTTCACCGGTTCACAATCTATTCAGATTCGCACTCAAATCAACCGACTTTGCAATGCTGCTTATCCTCATCTCAACATTCGATTTATTTTTCACTCCTCTAAACGCATCTCTTCTTTCTTTCCTTTCAAGGATAAAGTTCCTAAGTTTCTGAGATCTGGTGTCGTATACTTGTTTAAGTGTTGATGCTGTTCCGCGTCGTATGTGGGTCAAACCATGCGCCAATTACACACCAGAGTATCGGAACACCTGGGACTCACTCCTATAACAGGACATGCAGCAGTCATCCAGTCCAGTCATGTCTAGTATTTTCTCTCACTTAAATACTACAGGTCACTCTTCTTTCCTCTTGCTCAGACATTTGTGAATTATTGATTCACGAAAGCCTTCTTATATCTAAACTCAAATCCTGTCTTAATTAACGTCCAGGGCAGCTCTATTCCGCTTAACTTTCTGTAATTTGCCGTTGTCTTGTGTCTGTTTTGTTTCCTCATCTGTATCGTCCTGGGGCCCGTTGTATAAAACTCTTAATCACTTTTTTAATCACTATTTTGTAGTTAAATAGTGATTAACTCTCAAATACGCGCTTCTTATTGGATGACATTTCCACTTAACTATGATTAACTTTAATCACTTTTTTATACAACCGGCCCCAGCCATACATACACCCTCTTATCTTTTATTATCCTTAGTAACATAACACCTTGTAAATAGATTATAATTAGCTTATATATATTCAAATCTCATGTAATTTTATCTAGTCTGAAGATGTCTTATTTTAAAGACGAAACGTTACAATAAAAATTCTTTAAAATCTTAACTGTTTTAATGGCTTTGTTAAAAGTTATATGTTGGGCTCTGATATTAATCATAGGATTTCGTT